CCCAGGTGGACATCAGTAAAGTGGTGACCTTGTGCCGACTCCTGGAGGCTCTCATCTTCCCAGCCCGCGGCGGCCTTGACTTCAACCTGGAACAGGTCAGCAGACCCCATAGACTTATATATATATATACGCCTAGATTACCAAACTGTCATGGCTGGCGGGTGGTTGGCGGGTGCTCTGGTGTCAGCTCATCCCATAGACTTATATTTTATACATACCCCAAGATTACCCCATTGTCAAGGCTGGCGGGTGGTTGGTGGGCGCTTTGTTGTCAGCTCATCCCATAGACTTATATGTAATAGACTCCTAGATTACCGCACTGTCATGGCTGGCGAGTGGGTGGTTGGCGGGTGGGTGGTTGGCGGGTGCTCTGCAGTGGTTTGCCCCTTCTTTTCTATCAAACATCTATCGTCCTTATCTCCCCTCCTTCTTCTTTTATTTGTTTGTTACTCTCTTGTAACACCTCTAATCTTCAGCATTAAATAACCTAATTGTGTTGCAAGTGCTGTAAAACTTTTAATAAAACTAAAAATAAACAGTGCTCAGAGCATATGCTTGCATTGGATAGAGCACTGTATAAAAGCAACCTATTATTATTATTATTATTATTATTATTATTATTACTGTTATAATTATTCTTATTATTCTTATTATTACTGTTATAATTATTCTTATTATTATTACTATCCTTATCATTATCATTATTATTATTACTATTACTATTGTTATTATTATTCTCATTATGATTTTTTTGATTCTGTGCGTGTGCCTAGGTGAGGCTACACATGCTATTAATATTATTATTATTATTATTTTTATTTTTATTGTAATTCCCCAAGTGAATTTTCATTATAAATCCCATGATTCTGTGGCGTGTGTCTGCGTTTGTATTATTATTATTATTATTATGATTGTTTCTATGATTGTTCCGCAGGTGAAGCTGCACATGCTGGTGGCGCAGACGTTTGTGTTCTCCTACCTGTGGGCCATCGGGGGGAACTTGACAGAGAACTACTGGGACCCTTTTGACACCTTTGTCAGGTCACAGTTTGATGACCTGGGGGAAGCCAAGGTTTGTGTGTGTGTGTGTGTGTGTGTGTGTGGGTGTGTGTGTGTGTGTGTGTGGGTGTGTGGGTGTGAGTG